CTGTGTATTTAGCTTTTTGTCTTGAGTTCACCTTTAAAGCAATCCTGTCAAAAAAATTAAACTTGCAATTAATCAGTAACTCTGTAAAGTAGAAAGAGAATACTTATATCTCCTGCTGCACATGCCACTAAATGCTGATTCATTGTAAAGTAATTCACCTGCTAAATTGTCTTCTGAAGCAGACACTTCTAGTAGTGTTGATCTGCTTTGTCCCTTGCTGTGCTTGGTGGTTCTTTCAGGCAAACTCCATATAGCAGTGATGTGGAAGTTGGCAGGAGGAACCATTGAGCGAACCCGGGAGACATGGCAGATCGATACTCCCATAAGTGTCAGTTTTAGAAAGACAATTCATACGAAGATTTTTTAAATAATGGAGCAGTGTTCAGCTTTTACCTGCCTGGGCAGAAGAAGAGGTAAGTATTATCTTTCTTCTACAAGGGCACTTTGTAATAACAAATTTTTTTTATTGCAGGGTTGCTTTAAGTTTTTTCTCCTCCTTGTTGTGATGATACTTTTAGCTACAAATGTTTTTGTTGTTGCATAGTTAATAAAGTGCATGCTGCTGATAACTGCTGTGGTAATTTTACTCTGGTGAATTGCTAAACATTGTCAGCAATAAAGGCGCGTTCATACTATATGTTACATTCTGAATAGAACCCCAGCAGACCTTTCCTTATGGTGCAGTGCGCTGCTGGAAATGGTAAATGCACCTTTTTTATGCGTTTTGGTGCTTTGAGCAGCCCACAATGGTGCAAATTTTCCCAAAGTGTTGTATTTTGTTGTAAGCACCTTGGAGGTGGATAACAGGCACTATATGATGCAAATCTGTAAGGCTCTGTTTCTGTTTGTAGTTCCCTGAACTGTTTGCACATACCCTGGGGTGATATTATGTCCTGTAAAGTGCAGATACCACTTGATTTCCAAAATGAGAAAACCCTTGATTCTCGGCCAGGAATAAATGCCGGGGAGGACACCAGCGGCATCAGAGGAGAGACCACCCTTAGGATCCCATACAGTTTCCTGACCTCCCTCCATGTAATTATGGTGTCCAGCAGAAGGATGTTCGTTTTGATGAGTGCGGGAAGAGCTTTCCACGGAGTGTGGAGAACCCCTGAGAGAGACCAAGGATGCACCATAGCTTGATCTAAGCGCGGGTCTGTGAAGTGTGAAGTCTCATGCACCCAATCTCTGGCATGTCTAAAGACGCTCACTAGATTATAAAGTCTAATGTCGGGGATATTCACCCCTAGTAAGGATTTGGGTTGTTGGAGCTTGTGCATGGCTATGCGCGGGCGCTTTCCTCTCCATATGAAAGTAGCAAATGCTTTATACAACTTGTGAATATCTTTGTGTTTAATGAGTATAGGGAACGTCTGCATAGGATACAGCAGCCTTGCAAAGCTGATCATGCGGATCAAATGGCATCTGCCCAGTATAGAGAGAGGAAGGTCACGCCATTTATGCAATTCTTGAATGATCTTCTGAAACAAGGGGATATAATTTAAGTGATATATATCTGTGGCTCTGGTGGATATACGAATACCTAAATAAGTTATAGCTCGTCTCTGGATGTGAATGGAGAGTTCAGGAGGCCAGTGGGAGGTGTCGATGGATTCCCCAGGGGACAAAAGCAAAAGTTCACTTTTGTGGCAATTAATCTTTAGTCCCGAGAATGACCCATAGTGTCTTATGAGTCTGAGCACGTCAGGTACCTGCGTGGAAGGGTCAGACAACACCAGAATGATGTCATCCGCAAATAGGGCCAGTTTAACCTCATGGGACCCCAAGCGACTCCCCCGGAATGTCGGGGAGGATGAAAGGGATCTAGATAACGGTTCCAAAGCTATATTAAAGAGCAAAAGGGACAACGGGCATCCCTGCCTCGTTCCCTTGTGCAGTGGGAATGGGCGTGACATAGCTGATTGTGTAAGTATGCATGCTTGAGGGGACGTGTAGACAGTAGTAATAAAACTCAAAAATGGACCTGAGAATCCAATACGTTGCATAACCATGGACAACCACTGCCAATTAACATTGTCAAAAGCTTTCTCCACATCCAATGATAAAAGAGCCATAGGATGCGAAGAAGGCAGGTTCAGCCGGTGGTCTTCCAGTACCATGAGAATCTTGCGAATATTGGACACAGCCGACCAGCCTGCAACAAACCCCACCTGATCAGGAGAAATCAGTTTTGGCAACACAGCTGCCAGTCTATTGCCTAGTATTTTGGACAGCATTTTGGCATCTAAGTTGAGTAGGGAGATGGGTCGATATGATCCAGCCTGCATAGGATCTTTGCCCTTCTTGGGCAGTAAGCGGATATAAGCGTCATTAAAAGTGGGAGGATATATCTTGCGGGACATTATGCCCTGGTACTGGGCTTCTAACGTAGGAGCTATGGCAGTAGCTAGTAGTCGATAAAATTCCGCCGAATAACCGTCTGGGCCGGGAGCTTTGCAAAGGGGGGAGTGTTTAATGACCTCCAGGATCTCTGGCATAGTGATATCGCCATTCAACCATTCGAGGTCTTCAGCAGACAAAGAAGGTAGTTTTAGAGAATCCAAAAATTGAGCACCAGCGGGCAAGTCACCTTGCTCGGGCCATACAGTTTCCTGTAGAAGTCACTGAAAATATCGCCTACCGTGGAAGGGTCAGAGTGGACCACTCCCTTCTCGTCTTTTAGTTGCAGGATGCGGGAGCTAGGTCGCCCACCACGAGCCAGGTTAGCTAACAATTTGCCCGACTTGTTTCCAAACTTGAAGCGTGCCAGATCGGCCGGGTTTCTAAGTATTAGGTCATGTTGGTGCAGCCAATGGTCGCATGCCTGCTTGGCCGCCAACCAAGATGTGTCAGGGAGGGATCATGTTTGTAGTCAAGGTACGATCTCCTGGCAGCCGTGCTCGCCTCTGCATACCTTCTCCTGATCAGCCTTTTTTTCACAGTAGCATATGCCAGTATACGTCCTCTCAAAACCGCCTTTGCGGTCTCCCAAAACAATACAGGGTCAGACACATGAGCAGCATTATCAACAGCGTAGTCACTCCACCATTGTTGAAGCTCCGCCTGGAAAGCTTCATCTTTCGCCAAATAATTGGGGAACCTCCAAATGAGGGGGTGACTAGGCATACCAATATTTTTTAGAGTAAGCAGCACTGGTGCGTGATCTGAGATCACCATATCCCCTATAATCACAGACTCCAGTTTGGACAACAAGGAGGAGGATGCAAAGAACAGGTCTATACGTGACAACGAGCCGTGGGCATAGGAAAAGTGGGTGAAGTCTCTTTCCAGAGGGTGGAGGTGCCTCCAAGTATCTGTACGGCCTATCGAGTCAATCCAAGTGGCCAAGCGAGAGTCCTGGGGATTGCGATACGAGGTGGGACTTCCCATGATCGGTCCTCGGGCGTGGATGGTGTAGCATTGAAATCTCCGGGCGGGAGTGACGAACTTTGTAAGAGAAGGTGATCCAAAAAGGACTTATTTTCCGCATTAGGGCCATACACATTCCAGAAGGTGTAGTGGGTGGGGTCCCACTTGTAGAGAGAGCATAGATCATCTTCCGTTGACCTGGTCAAAGCTGTGGGAGGTGATGAATGCGCCAATGACTTGTTGATAAGGGTAATTACCCCAGCAGATTTCCCTGCGGCTGGAGCACCAATGGCCGTGCCCACCCAGGATTGTCGCATGCGTAAAATATCCGTCTCTTTAAGGCGAGTTACCTGAAGAAGGGCGATGTCCACTTTCAACTTTCGCAAATGACGTAAAATCTGGCGTCGTTTATTAGGAGATCTCAGCCCCTTAACGTTCCAGGAAACAATGTTCAGGGTGGGTCCCATAACAACCACAGTGGGGTTTAAACGATAACTAGCGACAAATGTTGGCAACAAGGGGGGGCTCTCGCGGACGTCCCAGCTCTCCTGAAGAGGCCCTGTGGCACAAGTGGATGTGCCCTGTGATGTGCATAAGAATTAAGGGGTGATCCACCGGGCAGGAGATGAAGATGCAGGAGATTGACTCCATGAGTGTGTTGGCGACAAAGTACTAACAACAAGAACACAAAAAAAGAAACGTCCATTGTAAGTGACTACCTTTTTTCCTGATGCGAGCGGAAAGAGGCTGACCACACGTGAGAGCGAGGCTGACCACACGTGAGAGCGAGGCTGACCACACGTGAGAGGGAGGCTGACCACACGTGAGAGCGAGGCTGTTCTTCACGGGGTTGCGTTAGCGCAGTAGTATTCAATGAGCTTGTATATCGCGCCATCCCGCCATCCAGAAAGGGCGAAAACTATCAGTCCTGGTGAAACTTGATGAACAACGAAGGAGTAGAGAAAAATCAAAACAAAAAAGCGAAGTATCAGTAAAGTACCTGCAGAAGAGCAGCATCCAGGCCCAGAACCTCCGCGCCGCAACATCACCAATCCCCTCCGTAAGTATATCCAAGCCTGACCCCCTCTCGGGCTCTCAGGCCTTCTTTTTCTGGGGAGGACTTTTTAACGAGGATGAAGAAGAGATATTCCCCCAGGAATCGAGGAACTTTTGGACTTGTGTTGCAGATGTGAAGCACCATGCTTTCCCATCCTCCGTGGAGAAGCGTAGCACTGCTGGATATTGTAAAGCGAATTTTATGCGGTGTCTAACCAGCGATTGGCATACCTCATGGTATGATCTCCTCAATTTAGTTGTTTCCATAGAGTAATCCGCGAATAGTAACAGCTTTAGGCCATCCACCACGAGGTTGCGCTGAGTGCGGTAGGTGTGGAAAATATTCTGTTTATCGTAGTAATCAAGGTAGCATACTAGCACTGGTCTCGGTTTGGCGTCATCTCTAGGGGATCCCAACCTGTGCGCCCTCTCAACCTTGCATGCAGCGGACAGGCCCAAGGCTTTGGGTATAGCGGCGGCGCAAAACGCACTCAGATCAACAGGTTTCACAGATTCCGGGATGCCAATGACCCGCAGATTATTGCGTCTGGAGCGATTTTCCAAATCGTCCACTTTATCTTGCAAGGTGTGTATGCGTTTGTTCATGTCACCATATGCACGATGCGACTCAGCAGCGCCATCCTCCACATTACTAATGCGTTGTTCCATGCTATTGATGCGTGTATTTTGCGCTTCCATGGCCGCATTTAGCTTGCCCAAGTGCAACTGTAGAGTGTCCGCAATAATTTTAGCCATATCAGCCTTAAGATGTTTGGTCACTTCTGCAGCGATCAGCTTATAATCAATGTGGGGGGTATCATGCATCAGGGAGTCCGACTCACTCTCTCCCATACCTGTGTCCTCCTCATGCTGCAGCTCGTCAGCGGCCATCTTGGATCCTTCCCCTCCTTCTATCAAACTCCCTGGGAGGGCTCTGCAGGCTCTCAGTTGGCGCTCCAGATACCTGTCCATGACAGGGGAGCGGGTGGCAAGCTGTTGGTGACCGGCGGCCGAGGTTCCGGTGTGATGTCTTTGGCGGGTGGCGGGACGGAGCTCGGAGCCACTCGTCTAGTTCATCAGGCGCCGGAACCGGAAGTCGCTCTGTTTCTTTTCACTCATTTTGAGCTATCCTTTAAAATAAACATTTGCAAAACTTTAATCTGCTGCTTTCAAGTCATGATAATCTCTACAATGTTATTGCTTTTACTATACTTTTATCTTTGTATTCTCGTCTATTACATTATGCTTAACGTTATCCTTAAATTACTTTGTATATAAAAACGAGATTTTTGTAGAAAAATCCTTTATGCTTATTAATTGATTCACTTATTCTTTGTAGACTTTTATGAACAGTATAGCTAACCTTTTGGTTTCGTATACTGCATTTTTATCATTTCCCTTAAATGCAGTCTACTTTTTGTGGTTTCCCGAGAGGATTTAATGAATAACATGAATATCTGAATAGCATGACTTACCCATTAATAAAAGATTACATTTGATAATACAGAAGTTCAGGGGACAATAGGCTCTCTGCCACAGAAATTTTGTCTTTATATGCTTTCTCCACACAGCGATGGGAGCTAAAATACTGTATTCCTTTTTTGTTATTATAATCTGTCCAAATGGAAAAGTGCCTAGACTGATCTGCATTCCAAAGAAGGCCCTGCTCTTGTTTGGCTAATTCATTCACTTCTCTTTTATCTTAAATATTAATAGAAATGTCCCCATTCATGGTTATAGCACACAGTGATTACTTTTTTTTCCTCTTATATGTTTTTGCATAATTACTTGATGCACGTGCAGTATTAGTAGATAACAAGTAAAATGTATTTATCATCAAAACAGTTCCACCATAATAATTTGACAGCTGTAATGAGAGTGCCTTAATTTCCTCTTGACCATGCATTACTATATGCTTTGTTTTCATACATGTTTGGCTTGCATCTATTGTCTACACAGACCCATGCAATCATGGTGTGATTAAAAAAGTCTTACAGTTTTCTTTTTATTTAGAAAGCAGCCTGAGTAGAAAACCATGTGTCCTAGCATGCTAGAGAGAAGGATCCTTGCTCTGTGTATGGTAGCAGAGGTCTCTCTGTAGAGCTCTGACATCCCTTCTGCTGAATCAAAGGTAGAGCTCTCTAATTAGCAGGGAACACTACAAGCTTTGCTGACTACAGAGCTATATGTCTGACTCAGCAGGGTGCATTGACCTCTGCAGAGATGCCACTGCTACCACACAGAAAGCAAGGGTCCTTCTCTGCAGCATGCTGGTAGAGGACAGGGTTTCCTCCTTGGGGTGTGGCTGCTTTCTAAATAGAATTAAATTAAAATGGAGGTAAAGCTTCAAAAAACAATTGCTGGATGCCAGGTGTTATATAGTAGAAGATACTATGCAAGTCTCTTGTGCCATAAAAGCTTTTTTCTATCTGTCAGTAATGTTTGTTTCTGTACACTGAGCCACAGCCATGCACAGCTCAGTGAACAGGCCTGACATGCCAAGATGAAGTATAGTTGCGTAATTACATAGTAGGTGAGGTTGAATAAAGACACAGGTTCAACCTATACAGTTGTGTGTGTGTGTGGGGGGGGGGGGGGGGGGTT